CTCACACTGTCAGTCATCAGAACCTTACAACATCACGCTGAGCATATCCCTACAAAAACAGAAGGGAAGCACAAAGAACAGAAACACATCAAAGATGCCCTTTAATCCAGCGAATACCCAAACTGGGTGTTTGTCAAATCAGCAAGGAAATCAAAAAGACACGCAGCAGAACAGAACGGTGAGAAGATTGGAAGGAAAAACATCCCCATCCCATATGTTGCTGGAGTCTCTGAAAAACTCAAGAGGATTTTCTCCAAACACAAAATCCAAGAACACTTCAAACCTAACAAGACCCTTAGACAAAGGCTAGTGCACCGTAAGGACAAAAACCCCAAACCTAAGATGAGCAGAGTAGTGTATGCAGTTTAGTGCAGTAAGGAATGCTCTGATCTTTATATTGGAGAAACCAAACAACCTCTCCACAGACGCATGGCCCAACACAGAAGATCAAACTCCTCTGGACAAGACTCTGCGGAACATCTACACCAGGGGTCACCAATATGGTGCCCGCGGGCACCAGGAGGCCCTCAAGGACCACAGCGGGGGCCCTCAAAGTCTTCTGAAAATAGAACAACTCACCAGTGAACTAAGTTTGAAAATTTCTTTTATTCTGTTGCTCTTCTTTTGAATAATTTATAGATAATTTCATCATATTAACCATATAGAGCATTTAGAGAGATTTCAAAATGACAATAATGAATAGAAAATTTTCAATAATGAAAAGAAAGTTAACAATAAAAATGTGCTTAATATGGATAAAGTTTAGGTGAACTTTGACCCCTTTTGTTCATAGGTTAGTATTGGTAGCCCTTCCTATGACTCGGTAGCCATGAAGTAGCCCTCAGCCTTAATAAGGTTGGTGACCCCTGATCTACACCTTATGGACAAAGGACTTTATTCTGGAGACCAGAATGTTCACATTCTGGAAAAAGACAATAGCTGGTTTGAGAGGGCGTGAAGGAAGCCATCTATGTCAAGAAAGAAAAAACAACCTTAAACAGAGAGGGGGGACTCAGATTTCACCTTTCAAAAACCTAAAATGCAGCAATTGACTGGATCCCGTCCTGATAGCCCCTGCCTCTGTTCAGGACGGCGGAGGCCCTTGCCTATTCAGCCAGGCCAACAATTCCTTTTAACGACTGAGCTATTGACAGTTAGATGGGTATGGGGCATTAAAGGCTAACAGAAGCCAAACGACCCCCATTTCAAAGAGCTGGACCCCTTCGTCTATTTTATTTGCATGTTTTCTAAACAAAAACAAGGATTATTTGTATAAAACCTCAAACTCAACGCTATTTCTGACATTGTGATTTGAAAAAGCTTCCAGAATGGGAAGCGAAACGTCTTCAAAATTTGAAACAAAGTCCAGTGGATTGTTTTTTACTCTTATTTTGGAATAACTATGACCTGGATGACTGAGAATCTTCATCAGCATACTCAAGTAAAGTAAAGATGCTAAAAAAAGTACTTAAGTGCAGTAATCAAGTAAATCTACTTTGTCACTTTCCATTGCTAATTCCAGAACTAATCTCCCCTGTTTATTGCCCTTTTGCCCACCCTCTCCAATCTGTGCTGGAGCTGGTCTGCTTTCCGAATGACTTTTCTGTAAACTTATAAGTGCTGAACATCAATCAGAACATACTATTGCTTAATTCTTTTATTTTCTCTAGCCCCCAGATTACAAAAACATGGATAACATTTCTCCTGTGTATACAGACAATCCTTTATAGATTTTATTTACTTGTACTTTTTGAACTTCAGGTAATATAAATACTATTCCTATTTTTCCAACATCCTCTTTGTTTAAATTAAGGGTCAACTCTTCTTCTGCTGGCATGATTTTTTTTCCAAACAACTAAGATAAGTAAGAGAATCAAATAAGTGCGCAGGAACCTTCTGGAACTCGTGTTACATGAATACAATGGAGAGCGTTGGCCTAGTTAGAGCAGTGTGCTCGTGCTCTGAGGTTACAAGTACCTGGTTCAATCCCCACAGCCTGCACTCTGGGTTCCTGAGCAAGATCCTTAACCCCAAACTGCTCTATGGGCGCCGCACAATGGCAGCCCACTGCTCCTCAAGGAGATGGGTCAAAATGGAGAGAGTGAGTTTTGTTGTTCTTTGTAATGACAATAAAAAGGCTGGAAAAAACAAGTAAAACTGAGGCAAGCAGTTGCTGTTAGGAACCAGCTCCTGTAGCCACGCTGTTTAATGATTGGACATGAATTGTTTTCAGTGATGGCGACATTGATGAAGAAAGGAAAAAAATCTTTTCTAGAAAAGCCCATGCACGCAATGAATGAAAAACATTTTTATTTTGACATTTTCAGTCAAAATGAAAAACTAACGGGATGGGAAGGACTCAAATTCCCTCCAATAACATTTCTAAAGGTTAGTGGCTCTGAAATAACATTAGCTTAATCAATCTCAGTCAAAGAGATTTTCTTCCTAAACACATACCTGTTTACTGTTTTCAGGGGACCCTGGAATCCAAACATATGGATGCTCTGCAGAAGTCCAGGTGAGCGTTACTTTCTACCATTGCACGGCTTTCTGTCTCTACTTTCTACATGTTTGACTTACAGGAGAACGAGCTGCTGAAGGCCTCTGGGCTCCCACTGCTTGACTTTCCTCTCTGAGCTATTGAACCGATCCTGAGGAAGATGCATCTGACCAGAATAAGGGACAACCAAACATAAAGCACCATATTTCAGTTTTTATTCTCATTAAAATAAGTTTAGAATTTACAGAGAGAAAAAAAAACTTCTATGGTTTGGACACAGTCCTCTGATTCAAAATCATTCCCTGTGAAAACATTAATACAGAACCAAATATACAATTAACACCATGAGTCAGCGATCTAAAGTCTCCTTTATTTTTAGTGATCCATGAGCCTCTCATTGAGAAGGGAGGAAAGCAAGGTTTGTGTGCAAGGAGGCAACAGCAGGTAAACTGTACAAGGTCAACAAGGAATTACAGGCAGGCTGAGCCAGAGGAAGGTCTGAATATTAGCTGAATATTACAGAGATGGGCTCCAGTTTAACCCTCTCTGCAGCTATGAGGTTGGAACTATCCCAGAGCTGGATCAATCCAAAGGTCCAGAATATGACGTAACCGGTTACTGGTCAACGAAACTGTCAAGGATATTAAGATCTGATACTTAGAAGAGCCATGAAGATGATTGCCAACTTTAAAGATTATCCTTTGACACCGAAACCCATCAAAGACAGAACCTGTCACCCTGAGTGAACTTCACGGTGGACAGAAACTACACTTTGGGGAAGGATTTTGAAAGGATCAACAAAGGAGAAAACGGCAGAGATCCCAGTTTCTACTGAAAATATTCAATCAACACCTCATATCTGTCATCATTTTGAGTTTGCCACCAAAGGTTTCAGGATTCTGCCAGGGTTTCTATCCTGAAGAGGCTGAAAAAAATTTGGATTCACCTTCCTGATTTTCTGTCTGGATAAAAAAAAATCTGAACAAAAAACAAAAGCAGCAGAGTTTTTTCCCTTCTTTTATTTTTCTCACCTAAGTTCCCCAAACCTCATAATATTTTACTGGCAAAGTGGTTGTTTTATAATTTGTTTTTCTCCTACATAAATTGGAACATTTTATATTTTAGAGCATTTAAGCATTTAAACAAACTGACTAACTTCGGACTTAAAAATCCAAACAGGGAGGTTCTGCTATTTTATCCTGTGTTTCATAAACTGGGTCAAAAGACAAAAAAGGTATCGCTCCAGTTTTTAGCACTTTTTGCAAACAGAGTGAAGAAAGAAAAGTATTTTTATATGTAACATTGCCAAGAGTCAGGAAGCCATAGATGCTGTACAGAGCCAGACGGTAGTTAGCAACTCCACACCGAAGTTTAAAAACCTTGAAGTAGATTCAAGCTCTGTGTGGTCTGACCAAATGATCAGATGTTAGGTTCGAGTTCGTAGGACTATAATGTTTCAAAAAAATACATAAGTGAAAAAGAAAATATAAACAGTGAGTTTGGAAATGTTTGAAATTTAGAAATAAAATAAATAAAAACAGCACTTTTTTCTTTTTTTGTTTTGTGCAAAACAACTTTCTTTACAACAACTGATCATTTAAACAGCTTAATTTTCAAGCAAAGAAAACCAGAACCAGAGGACTAATCAGAAGGAGGATGCAGGATGAATAGCAGGTTCACAGGAAGTGATACTGTGATTACTTTTACAGTAACAGTATGTCAACCTTTACGGTCCAAATAAGCACTTCTAATATATCTTCAGCCAGGAACCCTACTAAGCCTTTATTAAGTCTTCTACTAACGCACAAAATCTTTGTTTTACCGTTGATAAGATTTTATTTGGATTTCGGACAAAGTGAAAAATTCATCTTGGACGTACAAACAAAAGTTTGTGGTTTTATGAACAAAATATTTCCAGTTAAGTAGGCTCTATGCACAGCTCCACTACTTCCTGAATTTAAGGCAGCTCCTTTGTTTCCTGTCTTTCATGATTGGATGCACTGATTAATCCAGGTGTGTATGACCTAAGTAACTGGCCAGACACACCTGGATTAATCAGTTCGTCCAGTAATGAAAGACAGGAAACAAAGGAGCTGCCTTAAATTCAGGAAGTAGTGGAGCTGTGCATAGAGCCCATTACGGGGAGGAAATGAGTCAACACAACATATCCAATATTAGTCCTCCTTGTAGCTTTACTGTGTATGACACATTTGCATCTCCCTTAAAAAAATAAATATATTATATTTACTATTTTCCCATTTGTTGCAGACATGATAACACTCCACGAGTACAGACTGGCTGAGAAACGCTTAATGTGTTGATTTAACCTGCTCCAGAGCATCACTGGTTACCGTGGTAACCTTGCTTGGCATTCTGAGCTGACCTCTGTATTAACCCGTCTGATTTCTGGAAATTCTTCCAGCCTTTGGTCCATGATGGGAATGTGATCCATGTTTTATAGCAGACTTAGATCCGGTTTAAAAAGGATTCCAGATGTTTGTTGAATGTACTACTCGTTTCCTTTAGTTGTCACCTTCCATCCATAGGAACGCTTCTGGAACGACCAGATGGATCAGCTAGGGAAAAGTTCTGGAAGTCTAAATCTAAACAGATTTCAGTTAAAAAATAGGAACATCACCACAGGAAGTACAACTTGGTGAACTGGAAAGTTCAACTTTCCAATTAAGGAAAAACATAAAAATCAAGCTCAAGTTAAAATTTATCTTAAATTACAGTTTCCCACCTGGTAGATAAATAGATTCCCTGTAACACAAACTCTACACACATTTCAATTATTCTTTTTTACACAGCTTGATAAAAGGAAAACCAGAGTTCATCCTAAACAGGAAGCAGCTGCTTCCAAGTAGAAGTCTACTTCCTGAAACATCCCAACAGGAACAAAATCCACTTTTCAAGTAAAACAGAGAATACAAAATGTAAATCTACCTGAACATCCCTTTAAAACCAGCCGCTCAATGTCAGAATACCAACACCAAAATCAATAGTTTAGGTCAGCACACAATCAGAAAGTCTCTTTGAACAGAACCAGCACCTCTCAGGAACCTCTCACCTTTAAAAAAAAAAAAAGAAAGAAAAAGAAAAAGTAAATAGAAATCTGGGCTCCACTGCAGGATTTCCGCTGCAGCTCTGTCAGGAACTTGTCCAGGCCAGTTAGAACCTGTCAAAAGTCCAGAAGAAATGAGACAACCCACTTCAGCAGTTGGAATGAACCTTTAAAACAAAACCTCTGCACAATCTTTAGACAACCAAGACAGTACTGCTAACCGCCAGCAGGGGGCTGAAATCTGAACTGGCACTTTAATTTCTTCAGGTTCTAAAGGAATCTCTGCTCTAAGGAAAAAAGGCACATCATACTGATAAAGAATTCCCAAAAGCAGAAACGCTGCAGAGGTTTTGGGGTTTGAAAAACATTTTTCAGGTTGCTCCTGGTTCCTGGTGGTCTGGTTCCCTGCACTTTTTAGATAAATCTCCGCTTCTGCACACTCTAGTCCAGGTCCAGGTCATTAGCAGGACTCTGATTAACTTGTGGGCATATTGAGTATTGAGGAGGTATGTGGAAGCACAAGCAAACCTAAAAGGTGCAGAACACCACCCCTTGGGACTGGAAATGAAGAGCTTATTGATGGGATGCAGGCCAGCCCGAGTCCAGTAGGAGGAGAGTCAACCCCATGATGACACAAATAGTCACTGCAGGTCCCGGTCATACAAAGACCTTGGCTAGTGCGTCGGCTCCAGCACTGCCGATGTAGCATTTGTTTGGGTGGAACGCCACGTCATGGATGGACTCATCAAACTTCTTCCGGTGGGCAGTGAACTCCTGGATGCAGGTCTTACTTTCCATGTTCCACAGACGGATGGAGCAGTCGTGACCTGTGAAGGTAAAGGGCCAGTCAGGACAAGGAACAGGTCCTCTAAGGAGCAGCTGACCACCTGAATATTTCACTAGCTGTGTTTCCATTACAAATTTGTGCAAAACTAGGTTGATATTCTTCTGATCGTGAAATGTTAAATTCTGCAGTTGTGGTATTTCCATTAAATAAGAAACACAACTAAAATAGCACATATTGGTTAACACCATTACTCTTGACAACAAGATGGTAGCGGAAAACTAAATGTAAAAAATTCTCCGTCTCCTCATGAATCCAAATATGTCACCCCATCTTTCTCCAACAACTTTAAAACCTCTTCTTCATTTTTTTTTACAAGGTACTTAATGTTTTTCCATTTAGTAAACTTGTTTTTGTAATTACAATTTGTTGTTTAATGGAAACCCAGCTACTGACTGCAGAAAACACAAAACTCTATAGATGAGCCGCCACAGAGCTGCATGCACTGCTACATTAAAACCACAGCTGCTCTCGGGCTCACTGACAGAAATGAATTTCAGCATAAATAAAGTGGATGTGTCTGTAGTTCTTATTACATTTTTGATTTATGCTCAATTTTGAAGCGTGGTCTGTGCTATGTTATTCCATGCCACAACGAAAGAGGGACAATCACGAACTAGCTGTGGGTCTAGATAAGACCGAAGCGCTGAGGAAGTGGGGGCAAGTTTGTGCGACAAGGAGGGACATGAGGGCGAAAAAGAGCGAGGATCCAGATGGAAAAAAGGTCCTAGCGTTCTCGCGCACCTCGCTCTTCTAACTGACCCAACTTCACGAGTCGTTATCCACAATGGCGGTCATACAAACAAAACAAGCCGGTATGGTACCAAACAGGAAATACGGACAGTGTAGAGTGGATGTAGATTTGACCAATCAGAGGCTTCCTGTCTGCGGCACTGTCTGTGGTCACCTACAGTTTGGAAGAGGTTCAGCAGAGTGTCTGCGGAAGGGGTGGGGACGTTTCTGCGTTCACTGTGACACAAGCAGATGACCCAGTTTTGAAGTATAAATCAGCCTTATCCAGTTGTAAACGTGATTTTATGCTGCTGCTCTTCCTTTCTTTGATCACACTTGTATTTCTAGAGATTTCAAAATGAGAATATCAAAAAGAAAATTAGAAAAACTTAAAATATGTTTACTGTGCACGCTGTATAGGTGAACATTGACTCCTCCAGTTCATAGGTCAGTATTGATGGCCATTCCTATGAATATTTTAGTATCAGCATTTGATGGTAAATTAAGTTGTGGTTGATTAATAATCCAAATAGTTAATTTAATCATTAAAGTCGTAGGGAAGCGGCTGTTCCAACCGTTGCATTTCCAAATTCTCCTAAATGGTGCCCGACTTTACACGAATAAATAAAGTGAATGTGATTGGTCTATTATCAAGGGGGCGGGGTTGTTGTGGCGGAAGGTTCGCAAGCATTTTGGTTGTGGCCGGTGTAACGGAAGCATCTTGATAACCAGTTAGCAACTTAGTGCTAGTAGGTTCCCAATGGGAAATTATATTGGGACCAAGTAGCACTTAGCAACAACACTGTCAAGGAACACCAAGGACAGCGGAAACATGCAAGAGGAGGAGAGTTTTGTGTCGGCGGTCGTGGATGAGTCTCCTCCTTCATGCATTTTTTATTTAGAGGAGAAAAGCGGGGACGAAGTTGTTGTGGAAGAGGACGCCAGGGCGGCAGAAGCTTGGTTTGGTGTAGAAGGCTTACAGCCGTACGTGTTTGAGCCCTTGCCTCGCAACGCTACCAGTTCTGTTAGCTCTACGCCTGCTGAAGACACAGACGTCCATCCCCCTGAACACTGGGACGGAACTCAATGGTGAAGTGAATTATTCTTATTTGTTATTTCAACTGTTGCATATATTAGCTGCGACATATGAATCAAGATGCTATGACGTAAAAAATTTTATTGACAGATGACCGTTGATATATGATTGGCTGAATTTAGATGTACAAGCTGACGTATAACTAACTGGCCCGCATAAGATAACGAAAAAAAATCACACAGCTTTATGACAGGGTTTTTAAAAAAACATTTTCTAACTTTTGGGACAATACGGTCAGATAAGGAATACATTTATATGCATTTTATATATTAAGCCAGAAGGATTTGAAATTTAAATTGACTTCCACACGACTTTAAAGACAGGCAGCCACAAGTCTCAATTATCTACTTATCCATCGGCTGTAGATTCATTTTATTAGACTAATAAATGATCAATTATAATTTCCAATTATAATCAATAATATTCATAATAAAATAATAATAATTGTATGAAAAGACTCACTTCCTGACATCAGGTATAGGCCGTTTGGATCCACAGAAAGACAGGTGACTGAGTCCAGGTGGGCAACCATGGAGTGGATTAGTTTACCTACAGAAACAGATCCAGAGCCAGATTATACAGATATTCCGGGAGAAAGAGAAGAGATCCATCTGATAAACGTAAAGAGGTGGTGCTCCTACCTGTGTTGTTGTCGAAGAATTGGATGTGCCGGTCCTCCTGTGCTGTGATGGTGATCGGCAGTGTCGGATGACTCAGGACTTTGTTGATCTTACATGGAGACTCTGTAAGGCGGACAAGGCTTGAGATTAATCAGCCTGCAAACCAATAGATCAGATCCAGAACCTCACATGGAAAAAAAAAGGGACTCAGTATGCAGCTGGCAAACAGTGCTCTGCTTTTATCTGAGTCCTCTGATGGAGATGCACAGAAAAAAAATCGACTGACCCTACAGTTCCCCCTAGCCACCAGGTTGTATGGTTCCAATATAGGGAAGAAATTGTGCTGTTTAAATGTATTCCCACCTGTTTGGGACCAGGTAAAGACATGCATATGCTGCCTAAGTCAACTTGCCAAAAAAATATGGTATTTATTATATAATCTTTGTCAATAACTCCATAGTGAACCCAGCCCCACCAAACAAGGTGTCCCCAAACCCATGTTGATAAGGACCTGTCATGATCGACCAATAGGCGTTTAAAAATACAATGTCTTTTTAAAATAATTGATTGGTGAGTCTGAAAGTAAGAGGCAGCTGTTACCATATGAAGCAGACTCAGTCAGTGGCTTCTCTGCATCAGCAAGGTGTTTGAAATAAAGAGATGGAGCTAAGAAGCTGTAAGAAAATTCTATAGGAAATAGGGATTATATAGGGATGGAGTTACAGGATTTCTAGTTTTCCTGACATGTTGCTAAAATCTTGTCCCGTCTCTTAACTTGTGGTTTACCTCTTTACCTTAATAAAACAGATATCCACTCCATTATTTATATAATATGATGCAACACAGCAGGGAAGGATTGATGTCTAATTATATCAAATCTGACTCGTTCCTGCTTTATCTCAACCATGTTCACTGAGCTGCTGAAAGGAGCTTTGATGAAAGAGGGACATCAGAAGAATCTGTCTGAACCATCCTGGGCTTTACTTCCTAAACTCCTGGAACTTTACACTGATGTCTAAAACCTGCTGATGGGGATCTCTGGTCACACCTGGAGGTCCAGCAGACTCAAACTTCAAGACCAGCTGCTGAGTCTCCATGTTGAAGAGTCCAATGTGTCCCGTATTAAACGACGTCACCATATAGGCTGGGTCGCTGCTCACCAGGTCCGCTGAGGTTGGGACCCCCATGTCTGAAACAGAGCCACATAGAGGACAGAGACTCGTCAGCTCAACATATGGAGAAGGAACTAAAGCTTGCTCCAAGAGCAAAGAAAGCAAAAAGAAAATGACCCATTTGATTTAATGGTTTAATCTAAATTCAGACTTAAAAACTGACTGAAAAGCCATGGTGGAAGATTCATGCAGCTATGCAAAAACCTCTGTGAAGTTCTAACCGCTGCAGCACACATGTAAAGCAGCTGAAAGATCAATATAACTGATCAGGTCTGATGGATTCTGATCCGGATTGTCTCTAACCTCCATCTTCATTAAAAATCGCCAAAGCGGGTGAGATGTCAGCGGCGTTCCAGAGTCGGACCGTCCCATCAGCCGAGCAGGAGAGAAGACGGTGGTGTGCTGAGCTATAGACAAGGCCCCAGACTGAGTCCGTATGGCCGCACAGCGCCCCGCGCAGTATGGAGGCCTCTGCAACAGGATTGAGAGAAAACCCTTTATCGATTGGAAGCAGCAGTTTTATGGTAATGACTGCCGACCTGCTGAGTCCTACCATAGGAGTCATAAGGGTCTATGTTCGGGTGGGGCGTGTTCCAGCTCTGGATGGTGCCGTCCACCCCCCCACTAAAACACTGGTCCCCGCTCGAGCTCATGGTGACGCTGAGAACAGCCCCACTGCACACAGAGACAGTTTCAGGTCAGATCACTTTGATAAACACTGAAGGTTCTGACCGGGTTCAAAGTTCTGATCAAGTATAAATCACACCTGTGAGCTCTGAACGTATAGATGGGCTCCACATCTAACGCTGCACACCTGGAGGAACAAAACAGAAGCCTCATCAGAAGAGAAAACATCAGAAAACTGTGAGAGTCCTTAGATTCCCAACATATTTAACTGGGTGGAGTTGATGGTATAATCATCTTCGTCTCACTTCATAATCATCATCATCATTATAAACAATTTATTGTAAAATAAAAGAAGCTCCATCATCTTAATCAGCTCTGAAACTGCCAGTAAATACTGCCACCCTCAGGCCACCCTGGATCAGCAAGCGCTGAAAGCAGTAAAAAAGCACCTGCTGCTTCATTTTTGATGATTATACAGATTAAGGTCAGAGGCGTGTCTTGAGCATCCTTGACGCTCCTGAAGCGTCTAGTAAAGTGTGTCCAGTTGTATCTGATGCTTCTGCTGCTCCTGTGTTCAAAAGCGGAGAGCGGCTTTGCTATATTTGCTGTTATAATTGGGTAAAAAGCAGTTTTGATATGTTTTTAAGTGAGAAAGTCCACCTCAAAACATCATCTGTGCAGTCAGTTCATCAAGATTACCATCCTGCCTTCAAATATTATTTTGCTGTCGGACCAGCACGAAAACACCATACACTGGCGGTGTGCTGTCACTGGAAATCCCCTTCAACAGCAGCCTCTGGCTAGGTCGCAACTTGGAGGTTTTTCGCTACTGTTCGTGGCGGCTAGAAGGAGATGTTGGCGTTTCATGTATGTAATCCAAACTGCAGGCACCAGAATAATAAAAGCGGACATAATTTGCCGGCAGGTTTCGACATTTTAAGTTAATTTAGGCGTTAATAAACTGCTTCAGGTAAGTGATCATAGCGATCTGCAACAACAACGCTGTGTCTGTCTCTCTTCCAGCTCCCAGATCAGCTTCTCAGATTGGTTGATGTGGCACGTCAAGCAGCAGAAGTTCAAATTTCCAACTCCAGCATCTGCTGCTTGTGAAGCGCGTCACACGGGTCAAATGCTCAGAAGCTCATGAGGTGCTGCCTCAGCTGCATTAAGACGGGTTGCTCCTGCTCTTGAAACGCGCTGTACGACCTTAAGATACACCTCGATGCGCAACCATCTTTGACTTTGCATGAAAACCAGCTGCTTTTGCTGCTTCAGCAGCGTGCAGTCGGAACGTAGCATTACTGTTTATCTTTTTGATTCAGACAAAAAATGTGTAATAAACAATCTGTAAAACATAATTTTTCAAGTTTTTGGTGTAAATATTTATTCTTTAACTGCATCTAAATAATGTTTGCATCCTCCAACATCTGTTCTGCTCAGTCTATAAAAAGATAATTGAATTGAAGTTGATGCTGATAATGAAGTCCTTTATTCTGAATTCAGATTGAGTTTAGGGAAGCTTTTGAATTTAGATGCTTTTTAGTCCTTAGAAACAAAATCAGAATGTGACCTAAAAGGAAACTAAATCTTAGCATGAGACAGTGAAATCCTCATCAGAGCAGCTTTGACTGGATTATTCCTGCTATAATCTCTCACTTTTTGGCTGGTGCCGTCTTCTGAAGGTTCCACAATTTCAGGGTGTGATCCTCAGATGCTGTGACCAAGACGGGCTCCACAGGATGGAAGGCCAGACTCCGGACCGAGTCAAAGTGGCTCCGTAGGGTGAACTTGGGGTTCCAGGTTTTCCTCAGAGCATCTGTGTTGTTAGTGATCTGTTTAGAGAAAGCAGGGATTAACTGATGATATTCTAAAGGCTGAAGAAGGTTTAGGTCATTTCTACCCACAAAAGGACCTCATCATATAAATATTTGCATGTTTGGCTTATCAAATATGCTTTTTTAACTAGACTCCCCACACCAAGCAAATGCCAATTTATTTACTTATAATTATATTTATCAATCTAAACTCAACAGCTCGGTGGCTCACATACACCATAAACATTTAAAGACAAAATCTGATAGTTTTACACAAGTGGAAACAAGTTGGATCTATAAAGGGAGTCATTCTTATTTTGTTGCCTCTTCTTCATCTTTTCAATCTAAGGTTTCAGCTAAAAGGACTATTGACATGAAATCAGGAGTCAGGGTGTAAAATTCATAAAGATTTTCTCAGATCTGGTTGTTTTACTCACATCATATCCAAGACTTTCTGCCTCATTGGCAACTGTCAGTCCGGCCAGTTCTCCCAGTCCAAGCTCGTTGGAGACGGCTTCGTCCACTCTTCCCAGAATGAAAGACTTCCCGGTGGACGGCAGGAACGTCATCGGTTCTACAAGGAGGGAGCATGAAAGGAGGATTCGGTACGGGAGCATTTGGCTGCAGGTGCAGCTGAATGACGGTCCAGGAGGAGGAGGGGCTTACCGTCTTCAGGCCGACCAACCTCGGGCTCATTCAGTCTGGGAACAGTGGGCCGCGAGGGAGCTGACATGGCCGGCTGCATGGGGGGGAGCTCCTCGGTGTCCCGCAGGTTAGCCAGCATGTCCTGGAGTTTGGAGCGGTTCGGTCCTAGGGGATAAAGATGACAAGAGGCATAGGAAGATATAGAAAGTGGTTTAAGTTTGCAAACCTTCGGTTATATCCAAGAACAGAAAAAAAGCAGAATCGGTTATAGATAAAATGTTCCAGGTGCAGAATCCTTTAACACAATCAGTGTAACTAAGAGGAAAGACTTCTACATTCAAAAGGTAGATAATGCCATCCAGGAAAACATCCAGAGATGGATAAATTTAGCCTTAGTGCTTCCTGATGGTTTAAGAAGAATCCATTGCCGAGGTAACAAAAAGGTGGAAAAGACCTGAATGTTGGTACTGTTTCCACCAGGTAACAAAATAAAACATCAGATGCACACTGAAAGATCTAAACACAGCCCCACAGACCTGTTGCATCTTTGATATTAAAACACTGCAATAAATCCAAACACAAATCAACTGCAGTGATGTTTTCTAGTTTTTATGGGGCACTGTTCGGGAACAGAAAGGGGGGAAAGTTAAAAATACAAAAAAAAAGAGATTATTACATTGATAAATTGCCTGAGTTTTCTCTAGTATAACAGAATCAGCAGGGTGGATGAACCAGAAAAAAATAATAGAGAGAATGAACTCCAGATCAGATGCAGGACTTACTCTTAACTCCTTTCTTCCCCTTTCTCTCCTTTTTGTATTGCTCCTTCAGTTGGGCGATCAGGCCTTGGTCCACGTCCCAGACCGGTTCTCCAGGAGCAGATGGATCCTCCTTCTCTATGGGACAAGGAGGACATGTTTGGTAAAGGACAGATGTAACAACAAACCATAAACATCAAACAAGGTTAAATAAAACAGGATGAAGTATTTACAGTTTTGAGCCTCTAATAAATAAAGAACTAAATATGACACAGTTCAGAGGCAAAGAAAAAAAAAAAAAGAAATCAAAATATAAAGAAAACTATATAGAAAAATATGACGAAAGAACTGTTGAGACTGTTGCTGTTCCTCATATGAGCTGCAGGGGTAGTAGTTGTGAAGGATTTCAGATGTTTCTCCAGATGAAAACTTAAAAGATTTCCTTGCAGCTAATCTGGGAATAAACTGGACCGGTTCTGATCGATGGCTCACATTGAACATTCAACTAAGAGCAGAAAGAGGTTGGTACCGGGACAGATCATGGAGCTGACCTGGGTTCTGGATTAGTGTTTCAGACAGTAGCAAAAGGAGCTGGATTTGACCCGTTTCTGTGTTCTGTGCTGGTTTTATGATGCAAAGCAGAAACTGTAGCTGAATGCGCCACTGAGTCAGCTCGGATCTCCAACTATGTGGACTGTGAAGTGTTGAATCATGAGCTGCGTGGGAGAGCTCTCCATCATGTGTTGCTAAGTAACTGAAGAAAAGGAGAAATGGTTCTGTTATGGTACAGGAACACGCAGGTCACCGACTGATGAGATGGTTCTGGAGGAAATTGGTTTAACTGCAGCTTCCAGGATCCGTGCTCCTGTTTTCTCTAAAGTTTTCTGTTTGTCCTGCAGTTCTCCTCCCCCTGAATCCAGTCACCTCTCCATCATCTCAAATCTTTCCCCACCATCCGACCCATCTCACCCCACTCCCCGCTGTCCTCCCTGCTCCTCGGCTCGGACACATCCGGCTCATCCGGACTCGCCAGGAAGTCGAATCCCTTCAGGGCCTCCTCGGTGTCTGGGTCATCGCTGAGGTCGGAGGCTGTGGAAGATGGCGTGGATGACTGTTTCTTTCTCACCATCTGCCACAGAAACCAGTTTGGGTCTCAGCACAGATACACAAACGCAGGGCCATTGTGGGGAACGAGGTCAGACTTACGGTAGCCAGGTCGAGGATGGTTCTATCCTTGGACTCGCTCTCCTCCTCCTCGTCTTCATCGCTGAACTCCGCCGCGGCGCTTTCAATGAACCTGAAGGCCTCCAACACGGCTGCCGAGTCGGACATGTCGGGTTTACTGGGAGGACAGTGTGTCTGCTTAGTTCTGTGTTTTTTTTTTTTTTAAATAAAGAACCCACTCAGTACTCAGAGGAACGCTTCTTACCTGACCATGCCGCTGTCCTTCAGGGAGGAGGACTCTGTTCCGTTCACCATAGGTTCAGCTCTCCTCTCTGAGGGTTTGTCTCTGGATTCTCCGGTCAAACCGAGCAGCGCCTTTACCCTGTGGGACTTGACATCCAGGATGGTGTCGGTATATCCAACCTCCTGAAGGTACCTGAGTCAACAAACGGGTCAGGTGTTAATCTGGACTGGGGAATAATGCAGAACACGATCAGTTTTATGCATTTTCTAATCTGTGTTTAGAACAGGAGCTACTTTTATGGAGCCAAATGGGAAATTTCAGACCTAAAAGGAGCCAGACTGTTCAAAACTCTGCAAGTTAAGAGTTCAAGACTAAAATTAAAGCTGTATTTGATTAAAACAGTTATATGAGTTTTCTGTCTGAGTTAGCAGAGTTTTGGACAACTGAAGACAAGGAAGCCCCTTTTTATTAAAACGAGTCAACAGGACGTTACAATAAACCACTAATGAAGAAACAAAAGCATCTAATATCATCTAAAGTTCACTGCGGGAAACCTATGTTTGAAGATATTCTTTAAATGAGAAAAAAATCCTCTTTTTAAATTTAGTTTTAAACAATGCTTTAAGAAAAGACTTGATGCCTACATTTCTTCAGTGAGACTTGTAAATCGCCCATTCTTTGTTTAATTTCAGAACGTCCACTGCAGTGATCAAGGTTTCACAGATTTTTCCTTCTGGCTTTAGATAAAATGAGTTTTGCTTAATCACTGCCTTAAGTTTGTCAAGCATCTAAACAAAGACAGTCTGTGAAATTCAACAGACTTAAAGGAAGAGTACAGCTAAGCATTGTTGACAAAAAGACAACAAGAGACATTGTTAAACTCAGACATGATCTGACCTAAAGGAAGAATGTAAAGCAAAGACAGGATAGTTCCCAGCACAGAAAACTCCACATCATGGTTTAGTAGACTCAGACATGGAAGGACAACACACATAATTTGCTTCAGCAGTCATTGGTGATCATGTATGATAATAGATTCATATATTTTCTTAAATCTAAGGAAAGAATATTTCAAAAACACCTAAACCTGATCTAAAGAAGCAGTTTTTAATCTTCCAGAAGATCCATCATTAGTTAAAAAAAACTAAATCTGAAGTTCTGCTCTACTCCTGATCCATGCTCTCCTGCTAAGAGCTAAAGATTATTCTTATCTTCTATTATTCCTTGGCATTAATCGGGAGTCGGAGTATGAACATTTATGACAGAAAGTAGTTGCTTTGATCCTAAAATCAATCTCTTCTTCCATCCCCATTTATAGGAGGTCAGACTACGATGCTAACACTTTCAGGAAGGGAATCCTGTCTAAGGAATAATGTCTGGTTCTTCCCAAACCTCTGAAAACATATATAGATCTTCCAAAGACTTCTGGTTCTTTCCCAAAATGTTGGGACAAAATAATCTAAAATGATCAGGTGAACCTCCTCAGCTGATGAGATTCGATGTTGAGCAGCAGTAGCTCTACTTCAAGCTCTTCATGCATCATGGAGGAGTTCTAAATAAAATTGAAGTTCACAAACTTCATTTTTCCCCTTTTTTCACTTCAGGGTCTCTTATTGTTTACTTCAGTGGGATTTCTAGGAAGCATGATAAGTAGCTATGTGGGAATGCTGAACAGTTTTCTGCAGCTGCAGCAGGAGAACCAGGGGCAGCGTGTTCTTTGCACTCGGATCCATGAAACCCTAGTATGTTTTCAGAACTGTTTGGTAAAATTGAGCAACTGTTTAATTCAGGACAAATTAACCTTTTTATCCAAAAACAAGAGGCTGATTTTGACTAAATAAAAATGTCAGAAATGTGAAATATTCCAGCTAAGCATTGAAACAGAACCAATAACCATTTTACCTGATCACCACAGAATTCCTCCACTCCACGTTCAAGCACGAGAAGATTCAGCGGGAACAGGATCCGATCTGTTTAATGTACACCCAGCCTAGAGACCACAGAACTGGACCCGGCTGATGGGGCAGCAGTGTTCATCACTGGAAGGACCGAGGTTTTCCTGAACAGCATCCACTGTTTATGTTTCCCTCCTCCCTCCGTACCAGCTGCACCGATCGCAGGAGGCCTCCGCACAATCCTCCATTCAACATTCCCACAAACACTCTAAGGACAAGACAACGTCTGAGCTGCTGCCCACTCCCAGTAGGAGGACCTGGATGAGCCCTGGAGGGCTGCTGGAGGACCTTCCTCCCCACTGTGTGTCAGTCTCAATAAAGACAGTGAACTCAGCACCGTAACTGAAATATCCCACATTTATTAAGGACAGTGAACTCCACTCTAGACATTTAATCCTAAGATCTGGGTTGAATCCTATGCCCCCCATTGGAAACACTTTATGAACCCATTAGGATGAAAAAGAAAACCCCAAACTGGTCCCAGTGGACTGGTGCTGTTAGTTTCCCATTATAAGAGTGTTAATCCATAGAAAGAAGATTTGCTGTGTTTACACACTCACACGAAAATGTGTGGACATGCATTTTTGTTGCCTTGTGGGGACAGTGTAAGGCTGTTTCCCTGCATTATGCTACATTGTCAGGAATTACAGGTGACCAGTCGACTGGGTTCCTGGGATGGAGGGTTAGTTTTAGGCCTGTAGCGTGAATAGAGTTTAGGTCTAGGATTAGGAATGTATTGATGAAGGTTAGTTAGGGTGAGGATCTGGGTTAGGCCATAGAAGACATTAGAAGTTAATGTTAAGTCCTTATAAGGATACAGAAACATGATTGTGTGTGAGTGAGCTTACTGTTGGAGCAGCTGCCGTCCCTGTTTCCAGCTGAGCTGATGGCTGCTGTTCGGAGGACTTTCACTCTCATTCCCTTCATCTGAGTAAGAACAACAATGAGAAACGCTCTGAAGACAAATGGATGACCATTCGTCCGTCCATCCATCCATCCGTCTTTCCGTCCTTCTGCCCATCATCCGTCCGTCCGTCCGTCCGTCCGTCCGTCCGTCCATCCATCCATCCATCCATCCATCCATCCATCCATCCATCCATCCATCCATCCATCCATCCATCCATCCATCCATCCATCCAAATATTTAACAAATTTGAGGTTTAAAGCATTTTAATCCTCACCTGAATCATAACTTGGTACTTTGATTTCTCCTTGGTTCAGTTCTGTCCCATATTTCAGCTTGTGGAATTTGGCTCTGAGGGCAAACAATAAACAAGTAATTAAAAGAATTTGAACACCTAAAAGCAAAAGTGCATCATGAAGTCCGTGATAACTGAAAATAGCATTCCAGGTATTTTCCATCCAGTGTTCATTAGAAACATGTCATAACTAGGAACTGCACTGGTTCACATGTTTGACTGTTAAATCAAAGACATAGGGGTACATTTTCAGGCTCTTCAAGAGATTTTCAATCCAACTAAAAGTCATTAAAGAAATAGATTAATACATCTGCACCTATGGATTGGGTCCATTTTCAGCGATACTCTATCTAAAATTTTCTTCAATATAGAGAGCGATACAGAAAAATATTACCTGATTAGTGTATCTCTATTTATACCTGAAGGCTAGGAAATTGAATAAAGTCCCATTTGCCATCAAGTCTAAAGTAAACAGGGCTGCAACTAACAATTATTTAGCAAATCTGTCTGTTGATTAATCAAAAAATAATCATATAGCTAAAGGTTCCTTAAAGAAGATTTTTAATTAAATTAAACCAGATGAAACTCAAAGTTTTCCCCTTGAGGAGTTCTGGATAAAGCATATCGACAGAACAAAACGCTTTTTTTTTTTGTTTTTATCTAAATGCAAATGTTTATAGATGTCAGCTTAAGGCATGTTTTAGTCTCTATGCCCCAGTTGACGATTAATCGACTACTAAATTATTTGACATGATTATTCTGATTAATTGCTTCAGCCCTAAATGTCACACATTTAGAATAATCTTTGAACATTTAGTTTAAAATATAGATAGAAAACTATTCTAAACTACTAATAAAGCAAAATATTTCCAGTTATAAAAATAAATATACCTTTACGTTAACATTTGTTAATGATGATTTGTTAAAAAAAAAAACAAACAAAAGCAAGGTGCTTTTCTTTTGCAGCTTGGGCGTGTGTTACTGTATTTTGTAAAGATGTCAGCTTGGTAAAGTTATTTTATATGAAGTCTCAGGAGACTTTACATTTAAAAATTAATTTGAAAAAAATATAAAATTAATTCAGTTTTATTTCAGAAACACTCCAAGTTAGTAAAAAGTATAAAGTTGAGTCTAAGTCTAGTTTTAAGTCTAAGCTCCTCCTTGACCTTATTTCATTTCTGAAAAAGCCCAGGTTAAGGAGTATGGAGCTTTTAACCAAGGAGCAGAAAAAAGGGTTAAACTTAAAATGGATTACAATAATTGGTTATGCTAAATGAACCTATTCTTTCAGGTCTGATGACTTTAAATTGATCAACTTTTACAGGTAACATTTCAAACAGGTCATCAGGTGTAAATCTGTGCTCACTTGATTAGCAAACATTTTCTCAAGTATTTTACAAAACATTTTTTTCTTTAAGTAAACCTAAGTACAGATTGTCCATGAAACTCAGGTCAATTCAGGACTGAGGTCTTTTTTTTAGTCTTAAAATGCATCTTAAATCAATCTGTAGCATAACTACAGATTGATTGCCTGCTTTGCAGTGAAATAAGTGAGCTGGGATCACCTGGAAGCTTCTCATCTGTGACTAAAACCATTATTGCCTCTGAACGCTGCTAAATAGAGCTGTTGCAGGGTTTTACACAAATTTCATATTTCTTTAGTGTTTATTATCATCCCTCAGCTCACCTTTCCTGTTTCAGGGCATACTCCAGCATCTTGATCCGCCTCACTAGGTCCTTCTTCAGGTTCTCCTGTCCTCGCCGTTCCCCCTGTAGAAAGGCGATCTGGGCCTGCAAAGCATAGAGATGTATGTAGATGATGTATTTAGAAAACAATCTCTAAAACCTCCAAAGCTACTTGGACAAACATGTTTAAATAAGTCTATATTTGCAGTTTTAACTAATTCCAAGCATTTTAGGTTTAACCATAAAGATCCTGATCTCTGCTGACAGACCACAGCCTAATTTCTGAAGCTTAGGAGGTTTCCAGGGCGCTGGGTGGAGAGGTCGCCGACATTAAAGCCGGCTGAGAAACTAGATCAGCTGAATGATTGCTGACCTGTTCACAAGTCTGGCCTCTTTCAACTGACATGTTTCACCACCTGAGGCCTAAGCAGCAGTGTGGGAAAAGACGACACATGACTGACCAAATCTGAATTCATGATGCGATCAACTCTGCAGAGGTTGGAGCTTGTACAGCAGGATGGAAAAAGAGTCCAACAGGTTGGAAACAGGATATTTCTCCATTTGAGATATTTGACGGACAATGAGTCAGATTTAAAGTTTGTAGAGGGTTTAGAAGCTGTCAAAAATCCATTAATGGAGCAAGCTGTTTCCAGCTGGTCAATAATAACACCTCAGAACGTCCTGCAGCTTTACGGTGCTCTCCTCCTTTTGCTGACACACATCTGTGAGAACAGGCGGGGTGAAAGCAGGTCAGCAGTTATATTTAAAACAAGAGATCATGCCCAACACATCCAGCTGGCAGCAGACAAGCAGGGCTGGAGTTAGCAGCTTCTACCATCATCAGAAACATGGACAGTGTTTTAGGCCTGATTATGGTCCAGTTCTTACAGATAATCTTTGATCCACCATCTAGCAATCAACATACATCTGGTTCCACATTTAGTTATGTGAGAGGCTTATTCCAAATGTTTTTTTAAATTTCTGCTTGAATTTTGTTGATGCAGTAATGGTGCGTCCATGGGAAATCATCGGGAGCATCAGAGCATCTGGGTGACGGCATCAAGAAGGGTCAAGAGGTCCAGTTGCACAATTTGAGTGTGAACAGCAAATCTTGCAGCCTTCTCAGCATTGGAAGCAGCGTGTTTTTAGCGTTCTAGCTTACGAAGTGGCGGATGTTGGAGTTGGGAAATCTGAACTGTTGCAGCTGGACGCCGACCAATCAGAGAACCTAGAACGGCCTGGGCGGCCGACATTACCTGCAAGCCATCATCTCTCATTTTGCTAACCTGTCAGCATAAAACTGAAGAAATAATATATATAAAGGAGTTTAACCCTGCTGGTTTGCCTGAAAAGCCAAGAGAATGTCTTTTTTTATGTTAAAGGAAAAGTGAGCACTCTGATTATTATTACTCCACTTAGATGTTTTCTGACAAAACTGTGGAGAAACACTTAAATGCCTACAATGACTAAACATGTCAAAAACTAACAGTGAAAAATACTTTTAAGATATATTTTTTACTTGCAATTTTATTCACTTTTAGCCAATACTAATGGCAGTTTGGCCGACTTCAGTGAGCTTTCACTGGGGACTCCCAGCACTGTCCCACACCATGATGATGGTTCAGTTGCTCTAAACAAGAAAATAATTCTTATATAGGATCATAAACTGACTGGATATGTGAGGTATACTTTATCACTTAAAACCTGTAAAGCTAGTTTTTTCCAGATCAACAAAGTAAACAAAGCCATGCCATTCCTTAGATCAACGGTTTTCAAACTCGATTATCAGGACCCACTGTCCTGCATGCTTTAGGTATTTCCCTTCCTCTACACACCTGACTTAAAGAAATGGGCGATTAGCATGCCCCTGCAGCCTGTGGTGGTTGCTGAGGAAGGAGTGCAATCATCTGATGCAGGTGTGCTAGAGCAGAGACAGATTTAAAACTTGCAGGACTGTGGGTCCCAACCAATGGCTCTGTTCGAAAACCTAGGACGCATCCTTAGAAGACCGGATTCGAAGGACGATTATGTCATAGCGCGGCGCCGAGGTCTGGTCGGATTCCAAGAGTCCTTGTTATGCGGCCTTAAAATGTGTCCTTCTTTTTGCCCGATTTGAAGGACTGGTCTGATGTATCCTCGGTATTTGGATATCCCAGGATTCATTGCGAGACCAAGCAAGCTGTGATCAGAGTAAAGGTTACTTGGCGCCGAACAGTGGTGAAAATTGGAAGTTCAGTTTAATATAATACAAGTCATTTAATAGTTCTGTCTGAGATTAATGAAAAATAGTTGTTTTAATGGTTATTGAGTCAGATATGTGGCGGTAATGTTTGATTTATCTAAAGGTTTTTATCTGTTACTGTGTAAATGGGTTTGGCTGGAATTTAAGGACAGATTCTAATATATCTGCAGGGTGGGGACTATAAATCTGATAGGATTTTTATCTTTTTATTGCTGTTTTGCACAATATGCTTAACTACGTATTTTTTGTTGTTGAATATTAGAGATTTTGCAGATTTATTTTTTATAAATACATTGTTTAGATTTACTTATATCTTTCTAGCCGTTTTATAGAATAGAAAATCCCTTTATTGTCCCACAATGGGGAAATTTACAGCAGCAGAAAGATTATTGAAAATGGTCACACAAATGAGGACCTTAGAAAAATGCATAAGAATAACATGATAGGGAAGAATTAAAATATAAACAATACAATACTGTAAAGTGTTTTAACAGTATAAAATTGGGGAATAAATAACCAATATGCAGCTATGGACATTTTTACAGTAATGGATATTCGAAAATAGCAGCAACATCAGAGATGTGCAGAATGACAGCAGCAAGTTATTTATCTGACTAAGGTTTCTATCATTACATTTGATTTTATCTGTTCCTGCTCCTGGTGGTTGGAACCTTTATTCCACTCTGAATTCTCATGAGTCTTTCTTCACTTTATTATAAAAAATAAACAAATAAACAAACAGTTTTGAAAACTTCGGTTTTCATTCTTTTCCTGCTTTGTGTGTCAACTTTCACGGTTGCTAAGTAACAGAGCATACGGCGGTAAAACCTGCCGAAGGGTAGACCTGGTCGAATTCACAGCCTAAACTCTTCCGGTCTCCTTATTTTCAAGGACTTCGAAGGATCCAGTCTAGGTAGACCGCGTCCTTGGAGGACACGTCCTAGGTTTTCGAACAGAGCCAATGAGTCTGAAAACCACTGCTCTAGATCACAAGAAGAAGAAAAGAGCAGCTCAACGCCCATGGTGATGATCATCAAGAGGACTGAACGTCCACATCGTCTGACTTTAAAATGCACAAGTGTCCAAGTTGAGCGGTTAGATGCATTTTTCTGCTCAAAATGTGTTTGGGGTGAAATCACCACAAGAGTTTTTGTGATGTGGACAACAAAATGAAAAAGAAATCATTGAGACCCAGCAACTGAAACATGACAAAAATAAAAATAAATTCTATACCATAAGTAAACTGTATGCATATTGATGAGTTCTTTTGACTTCCTCATTGCACTGCTGCAAACTCGTCCACAAATTGGACATGGAAAGTTTTTGGGGGCTTGTTCAGATAAATTTCTTTGTGGAATGAAAAGAGATTAATATGTTTTATAATAATAGATGTACTTCTCATCCAGTTATTCGTTCTTTTAAGAACCTGCAAAATCTACTCCTGAAGTGGATCATTCAGTTGCAGAGCTCAGATCTAATTTATTCTCCTGCAGATGTGAAGTTGGGTTGCTGGAGATGCCTGAATTTCTTCACTCTGTTACTAGAGGGTGAGGGTCCATGCGGAACATGCTCACCACCACCAGCAGCTTGTATTTTTGTGGAGTGTGGATTTATTTGGTTTGCCTGAAGGTCCTGCCACAGCAGCAAGGTGTGAAATCGTTCTACAAGCTCTAAAAACCCCCCAACAAATCACCTGAGCACCTGTAAGGCTAAGCATCACATTAAAAAGGTGAGACTGCACACTCACAGATGCTCTCTGTTTCCAGGGAAACATCCACTCTGGTTGTATTAATGGGGACTTTATACATTTTAAATTATATATGTATTTTTGTCTCTTCTCTATAGTCATCAGTTTCTGCTGTTGTTGAACTGGATCTGTGTCTAAAGCTGCATTAGAACCAATAAATGTTGTCTTCCAGAAAGGGTCGACTTCCCACACGACTTCCTGAAAAACAAAATACATTTGTTTTTTTTAACATAATTTATCAAAACAAGAAGAAACTAATTTATTTTAGTGGTTTCTGTTTTTATTCACTATAAAATGTATTCAGTTTATAACTGATTCATGTCCAGTTATACGGAACCCCTTCCCCCCCCCGATAGTCCATAACCCAATTACACATCCAGACTGCAGAAAACCACCAAATTATTTTGGGACGACTGGGAATTTCCCGCTGCTTAAATCTGGAGCAGTGAAGGGATTATTGTTCCCAGCGTTGAAGGGACACTTTTAGGGGGGTTGTGCAAATATTCGTCACAAAGGAATTACCAGCAAAAGGCTGTGAGCATTCATGCAAACACATCTAGTCCCTGGGTAGGGATGAACTGAAGCGCTGACGTTACCTCACTGCTTTAACCTGAATAATTCTTCTTTACTATAATTTTCCTTCATTCCTATAACCGGCCCCAACTACAGCTGCCCACACTGCCAGCATCACTCTGACGCCAACCTCCTCTTCTCCTCTGAAAGGAGAAGGTAGGGGAGGAGGGGGAGGATAAGAATAGAAGCGTGACGAAATAACTTACTTTCTCTCCTTAGGGGTTGCTTAGGAGAATCATGCTGCTCTGAAGCTGAAGATTTGAATTAAAACACCCTAATGCATGATGAGGACGAGGAGGAGGATCCTCACAATAGATGCAGTCTAGAATGAAACCTTTATCACAGATGTACTTTGTTATAACATGACCGAGGTATTCTCTGGTTCGTGGCCCAGTGTTTATGTTATGACTCCTTGAAGAAATTAAGAATTACCATTTTTAGAACATCAGAATCCAAATAAGTATTGGCATTAAACAAACTATATAAGCCACTCTCCACTAAACTGGTCAACTGTATGACCCAACCCTGTGCAGATTTTAAGCT